GACGCGGGGCTCGAACCCATGAACCGTGAGATCATGACCTAAGCGAAAGTCAGACGCTTAACCGACTAAGCCACCCAGGCGCCCCCCTGTGTGCTCAATAAAACTTGGGGGAATGAGGGGCGCCTGGGTGGCTCAGTCAATTAAGCGTTCGACTTCAGCTTAGGTCATGATCTCGCGGTTCGTGGGTTTGAGCCCCGCGTCGGGCTCCGTGCTGACAGACAGCTCAGAGCCTGGAGCCTGTTTCAGATTCCATGACTCCCTCTCTCTCTGACCCCCTCTGCTCACGCTGTCTGTCTCTCTTACTCTCTCAGAAATAAATAAAAATTTAAAAATAAATAAATAAAAAAAACTTGGGGGAATGAAAGAAACAACAGAAGGTATACCAGATGGAGCCCCGGGCTGGGAACTGCAACGCTAGCCAGGACACCGCAGCTCCCCTGAGGGGCTCAGGGTGTCGGGTGGGGGACATGGCGGGAAACTGATGGCCGGCAGGGACGGGGAGGCAGGGCATGGCCGCTTCCACCAGGAGGGCCGGGAAAGTCTCCCTACGTTCTAGGCCACTTGAAACAGTTCTGCTGAGCTGAGAAGGTGAGCAGGCAGCCAGCACCAGGAGAGCCAGCAGGGTGTTTGGGGTGAGGTTTGGTGCATTCGGGGAGCAGACAAGGCACAGGCAGGGCAGCCATGAAAGCCCCCAGAGCAGGCAAGGAAGGTGGCCTGGGTTCATGGAGACTGCCCCGGCTGATGCTCGCCAGGCCTTCCAGAACATCTCCTGACCAGCAAAACATGTTTGAGCCTGCAACAGACACATCTTAACTGGGGCACCTGGGTGGCTCACTAGGTTAAGCGCCCGATGTCAGCTCAGGTCATGATCTCGCAGTTTGTGAGTTCAAGCCCCAGGTCGGGCTCTGGAGCCTGGAGCCTGCTTCGGATTCTGTATCTTCATTTCTCTCTGCCCCTCCCCTGCTCATGCTCTGCCTGTCTCTCCCAAAAATAAATAAACAGTAAAAAAATTTTTAATATATATACACACATATTAATTTACACATGTATATACATGCGTATTATTTGCTGCCTTTGCATATATTAACAAATCAGTAGAGCTTAGTTTTACTCTTACGTTATAGATTAAAAAATAAACAGAAGCCTTGATGTGGTTTTCCCGGCCCTCAGCAGTCAGCCTGTGCAACCTCCAGGAGACCATATGAGGAGGCCACCCAGAGGCTGTGGCACCGAAGAGTGTGGTGGTCAGATCTGCCTTCTACAGAGCCCCCACCTATGGCTGCATGTTCTTATCCGGTCAGCAATGCAAGGAAGCCGCCCCCACTGTCAGCAGATGGAAGGGGGTCCCCCAAGACCCTCTCAGCAACTACAGAGGGCTGACGTCATGAACTTCTCTAAGCAGCCTCCCAAAGCCCTACAGCCACTCAATGACTGAGCCCCAGAAAGGGTACAGGTGTGTCCTGTGTTTCCCCAAAGGTGGCCCTGGGTGCACAAGGTCCCATGAAATGGCGTTTGAAGAACGGGATCCCAGGAGGGGTGAGGTGCCTGACACTGGAGGTGTGTAAGTGGAGGCCATGGCTCTTTGGCCTCCAAAGATTGGAGGGGCCCCCAAAGCATCGGGAAGTCCCTCAGTGAGTGCCAGCACAGGGCTACTGTCTGGGCACCGCCAGCCCCGAGGCCTCACATGGGGGCACCGGAGCCCCCCCACACTCTGGGCACTTGAGCTGCAGACTCCTGCCCTGGCCCCACTTCCTCACCAGGGACCACCACGAGGAGCACCAGACTGGGAGGTACCGAGACAGGCTGGAGACTCAACAGGAAACGGGGGTTTCAGAAAGGGAGGCAGTAGATTATTAATCTCTTGATTAATAGCAGCGGGGCTAGTGGGAGGGAAGGGGCTGTCCCACAGCAGTTCCGAGGCAGGGGGAGGGGGCTTCCAGCCCCTGGCCTCCTCCAGATCCAAGCCAGTCATTCTTAAGTGCCAGACGCCAGGGACGGCGGGCCCAGCGGGCAGTGTCTTCTGCCCAGGCCTTGCCTCCCACGACAGCCCAGGCCCACAGTCCACTAGGGAGTCACTGCGGGGGAGGGGAACGCAGCCCAGACAGGCGGCCGCGCCGCGGGGGTCAGCCTCGCCGAGCCTCTCCGTCCGCACAGGCTGGCTGACGACGAGAGGCAGGAAAGAGAGGCCATGTTTTAAGAGAGTACTAAGTCCAGGACTTCACGCGGCCTAGCAGGCAGCAGGCAACCCAACCAGAGGGGGGAGGCCGGCTGGCAGGGGGCCGTCTGTCTGGCGGAGGGGGATGGAGGAGGCAGAAGAAGCCCTGGAGAATTCCAGCAAACCTCTCCGCTCAGCACATCTGGAAAAGGTTGGCTCTAATGCCATCAAAGAACTCTGCGGGGCCAGGGGGACAGCCAGGGCAGGGAAGCCAGGCTGAGGGTAACTTAACCCCCCACCGTCCTGCCCCCGTGCCTGCCCACCCCCCCTACACCCTACCCCCAGCGGCTGCCCCGGGGGGCCTCAGAAGGGCATGCGGGCAGCACCAATAAGGCCTGACTTCCTGCTGCAAAGATCAAGGCACAGCCAGGGGTCTGATTTCCACCCCAAAGCAAGACAGGGGTTATGTCCTTATTTCCCAGGAAGGGAAGCTGAGGCACAGAGAGGAGAGGCCTGGCTCGTCCCGTCCCCTCTGCCTTCCTCTCGCAGGGAAGTCTCAGCACTTAGCCCCTCACTGCGGAGCTAAGCTGTAGAAGGTGCCCCCTTTCGCCCCTCCCAGACTATCTCCTCCCCACACCCCTACACCAGTCCCCTAGTGAAATCCTCTCATACCCGAGATCTCTGCTCCAATGTCATTCCCTCAGGGAAACCCCAGGACCAGGTCTCATATCAGGGACACCGTTGCTGTGAGTCTTTGACGGTCGCTCATCGTACAGTGCCCCCCTCGCACACACATACATTCTGTGAGAGGGGGCAGGCAGCCATGTTTTTTGCACACTAGTGCCTGCTCTTAGGTGCTCGGTCAGTTCCACACGAACATGTGAACTGATGAAACACAAGATCTTAGAACCCCGACGTGGGGCCCGGACCCACAAACTGTGAGCTCATGACTTGAGCTGAAGTTGGACGTTTAACCGACTGAGCCGCCCAGGCGCCCCAAATTCCATCTCTTGGAAAGAGCTGTTTCCAAGCTTGGCTCCCCCTTGCAAAAAGCAAGATGGAGGCGTTTGAACTGAGGGGGGTGTAGCCTTGCTTCCCAGGGGCCAACCTTCCAGTTTGAAGGGTGGGGCACCCACTCCTCACCCTGAGCGGAGAGCTGAAGTCCACCCTGTTGGGGTCACTTACAGACCAGACTCCAAAGACCCTTCTCCCAGAAGATGCTCCTAGGATCAAGAGGTAGCGCCCTGGCCATCTGAGGCTTCCTGCTGATGAGAAAGGCAAGGAAGGCCTAGGAATTCAGCTCCGGGGGGCCCAGGGGAGTTGGAGGGGGGGGTCTCTGTGCAGAAAGGAAGGTGGGGGGTCAGCATCTTTTTCTTCATTTATGATCCACTGGCCATCCCTCCAGCATAGCAGTTAAAAGCAAACCTTTCTCTTAAAATTTAAAATGGACATATCTGGGTGCCTGGGTGGCTCAGTTGGTTGAGCGTCTGACTCTTGATTTCCACTCGGATCATGATCCCAGGATCATGGGATCAACCCCCACGTCCAGCTCCATGCTGAGTGTGGAGCCTGCGTAAGATTCTCCCTCCCTCTGCGCCCCCAGATACAAAATAAAATAAAATGGACGTATCCATTTACTTAGCCATTCCGTTTATAGAAGGAATAATTATAAACATACTTGTGTATAATGTGGACCCCAAACTAAGGACCTCTACTATTAAAACATTATGAAAAAATTTTTAAATTATGAAAATAGGGACACCAGGGTGGCTCAGTCAGTTTAGGGTCCAACTTCGGCTCAGGTCATGATCTCATGGTTCGTGGGTTCGAGCCCTGCATCGGGCTCTGTGCTGACAGCTCAGAGCCTACAGCCTGCATCAGATTCTGTATCTCCTTCACCCTCTTCCCCTCCCCCACTCACGCTCTGCCTCTCTCTCTCTCTCTCAAAAATAAATTCAATATTTATAAAAATTTTTTAAGTAAATAAATAAAATAGGCATGTTTTTAAAAAACGTGTAAAAGTATCCAACTCTCAATTTTGGCTCAGGTCATAATCTCACAGTTTTGTGAGCTCAAGCCCGAGTTGGGCTCTGTACTGACAGTGTGGAGCCTGCATGGGATTCTCTCCCTCTGCCCCACCCCCACTCATGCTGTCTCTTTCTTTCTCAATAAATAAATAAATACACTTAAAAAATTTTTGAACATGTAGAAGTGCTAAATATATATATATATATATCTTGATTCTCTGTATTTATGAGTCTGTTCCTGGTGTTTTTTTTGTTTGTTTATTCATTTGGGAAGAGATTTGGAATTTGAATAAGGTGGTCCCAGGCAGAGAGGGGCAAAGGGTCTTTGAGGCAGAAACACAGAGCTGGACAGGTGTGGACAGGTTTGGACAGGTTTGGAGAGGAGAGTGAAAGAAGCCGGAGCCAGAACAGGGGTAGGGCTAAGAGGGGCAGGGCTGAGAAAGATGGGGCTGTGAGGGGCAGAGCTGAGAAGAGGCGGGGCAGTGAGGGGCAGGGCTGAGAAAGATGGGGCAGTGAGGGGCAGGGCCGGGAGGGGCGGGGCTGAGAAGGGTCTCACCAGCCCTTCTGCGTCCTTCAGTCCTCTCCACCCATCAGATGCCCACTGGATTATGAAGTTCTTTCAGGGTAGGAAGCATGTCTCTTTCATCTGGCCCACACACACCCCCCCCATGCTCTGTCCACAAAAGGTGCTCCATAAATGCATGCTCAGTTCTCGTTTCCATGTGTCAACCCCCTCTCCCCAGAGGCTTGTACTGGGATTGGATTCATCCAAAGGAACAGAAAGGAAGGGCAGAGCTAGCCAGCCCTGCAGCCTTTACCTCACAAGGTTGGCACAGGGCCCAGGCCACCGGCAGCTCTGGTACACGCGCTGGACCACTGTCTCCGAGCCGTTCTGCACCTGGCAGGACACCGTCCGCGTCACTGTGTGATGGCACCAGTGTCTGTGGGGAGAGCAACAGTCATGACCTTATTCCTGAGGCGCTGACTGCGGGTCGAAAGGCCATGCTGGCCGAGGAGGGGCCCTTCCACAAGGCTGAGGGATAAGGGGCCCACTGAGACCCCTGGACTAGGTCTAAGGGTAGGGGAGAGTAGCCATACCCCTTGCCCACCAAGCCCTGGCATCATACCGGTCATCAGGCACTCGGAATCAACCCCTGCCAGCGAGAAAATCCCACTGTGGTGAGGAAGACTAAGAAGGAAGTGATTGAGGGGCGCCTGGGTGGCTCAGTCCGTTAAGTGTCCAACTTCGGCTCAGGTCATGATCTCGTGGTTTGTGGGTTCAAGCCGCATGTCAGGCTCTGTGCTGACAGCTCAGAGCCTGTAGCCTGCTTCGCATTCTGTGTCTCCCTCTCTCCCTGCCCCTCCCCTGCTCACACTCTGTCTCTCTCCCTCTCTCTCAAAAATAAAAATAAACATTAAAAAAATTTTTTTAAAGGAAGTAATTAAAACCCACAGCAACACATGGTCACAGGTGCAACCAAAGGATGCGCACAGGGAGCTATGGGAACCCAGCGGATCACCCAACCCCAGTCCTAAAAAAGGCCAGCCACCTGCATCCTGGAAGGTAAGAGCCAGCCCACAGCAAGCGCAATTACAGGTGGCCCAAAGGTTGGAGGAAGGGGAGGAGCCAAGAAAAAGGAAACAGTAGGTGCCTGCCAGGCTAGATGTGGATCTTATCATGGATCAGTGGGGAGCCACTGAAGGACTTGGAATGCCCTGGATGGGTCTGAATTTGAAAAATTTCCTCTGGTGCGGTATGTAAGAGGTGCTGGGGTGTGGCAGCGGGGAGTAGGGGACATATGCAAACAATATGGGGACTGGATCCACGTGGCAGACGAGCACATGTTTCCATCTCCTCCCACTCCATCCCCAGATCCTAGAAACTGAAAATCTAAAAATAAGTCCCTGTTATGACATTAGCAAGATGGCAGAATAGGAGATCCCCTACTCACACTCCCCCTACTTGGTGACAATACTCTGGCAGCCATCCATGGACAAAAATGCCATTGTGGGAGCTTTGGGATTTTTGTAAACCATATGTCTTATAAGGGGTTAATATCCAAAACTTACAAGAAACTCATAAAACTCAATGGCAAAAGAGAAAACCCAAATAATTTGATTTTAATGGCCAGAAGGACCTGAAGAGGCATTTTTCCAAAGACATACAGATGGCCACCAAGTATTGAGAAGGTGCTCAACGTCACTCATCATCAGGAAAATGCAAATCAAAACGAGGTATCACCTCACACTTGTTAGGATGGCTGTTATGGAAGGGAAATGAGGTAACAAGTGTTGGCAAAGGTTCAGAGAAAAGGGACCCCTGGTATGCTGTTAAAGTACAGTGGTGCAGCCATCTTGGTAGGTTCTCAGAGAAAATTTTAAAAAGGAACTACCACAGGACCCAGGAATCTCACTTCTAAGTACATATCCACAGGAACAATATCAGTATCTGGAAGAGATCTCTGCACCCCATGCCCACTGCAGTATTATCCACAACAGTCAAGATGGAAATAACCTAAGCGAATGAATGGACAAATAATATTTAGAAAACACACACACACACACGATGGGACGTTATTCAGCTATAAAAAAGAAGGAAATCAGGGATGCCTGGGTGGCTCTGTCGTTAAGTGTCCAACTATTGGTTTCGGCTCAGGTCATGATCTCACGGTTCATGGGTTCAAGTCCCCATTGGACTCTGGACTGATGGTGTGGAGCCAGCTTGTGATTCTCTCTTCTCCTCTCTCTCTACCCTTCTCTGCCCTCTCACTCTCTCTTTCTCAAAATAAACTTAAAAAAAAAAAAAGATTGAAAGGGATGCCTGGGTGGCTCGGTCAGTTAAGCCTCTGACTTCAGCTCAGGTCATGTTCTCGTGGTCCATGAGTTCAAGCCCCATGTCGGGCTCTGTGCTGACAGCTCAGAGCCTGGAGCCTGCTTCACATTCTGTATCTCCCTCTCTCTCTGGCCCTCCCCTGCTCATGCTGTCTCTCTTTCTCAGAAATAAATAAAACATTAAAAAATTAAAAACTTAAATTTATTGATCATAACTCAATAAAGCAGAAACTATAAATAAGTAAAAATAAAACCCAGCCAGAAATGTTGAGGAACTGAAAGCAGGTGGAATAAAGTCGAAGGAGGAACCGAAACAGGGAACAGGACTGGCGGAGACTGTAGGCATGACTAAGGAGCAGCGGATGTGGCTGATCCAGTAGAGGAGGGATCCAGAGGGGACTGTCAGAGGACCACAGTACAAGGAATCAGACAGGCAGGACCCGATCCCTACCCACACCGATGTCGAGAATAGGCTTTGGGCTCATAACGCAGGTGTGGTTGGAAGCAGGTGCCTCAGCAGCTGATGACCCCCAGGAGAAACCGGAGCCTCTCAAGTTCTTGCACACTCGTTCTCTACCCTGCACCTATACTTCCAACCCTCCAAGAGGCAAGGCAGCAATAAACAGTAAAACAGACAAGCTAGTGGAAACCCCCAAATACTACGAATCTCAAATTATTCCAGAAAAAAAAAGGCAACACCGTGACAGAAAGGCACCAGCTCAACAGACAATAAATTGCACTTCAGGAAAAGACAACCCAATAAAGCAAACAGATGAAGGCAATTTTTTAAAACATAATTAACGTCCTCAAGGAGATAAAAGTATTCTGCACTTGTAAAAAATATTACAAAACGGGGAAAAAATGAGATCTCTTGGAAATGAAATATACGACAGGAAAACCCAAAAGCACAACAGACGGGCTGAAAAACCAGCATGGAAACAGCTTTGGAGCGAGCGGAGGAGCCGCCGGAAATCCGAGCCATGAACTTTCCGCGGATGCACCGCAGGGGGAAAAGGAGATGGAAAATGTGAGAGAAAAGGGGAAAGACCCAGAATACGGACTATGTGCCAACACCTGTCGATTAAGTAGCTCTGGAATGGGAGACTGGAGAGAGCAAAGGAAAGTACGTGCATGAAAAAAGAGTAAAGAGAGTTTGAGAAAGCCATGAGTTCTCAATCGGAAAGAGCCCACTCGGTTAAGCAAGATGGCGACAGACGGACATATTGTGATGAAGCGTCAGAACACTCAGGATGGAGACAAAATACCGAACGCTATAGAAAGGAAAGTAACACAGATGGTCTACAATCAATTGGAATTAGATCAGATCAGCAGCACCAGATTCATGAAGAAACAAAGTGGTTTTGGGGTGCCTGGGTTGCTCAAAAACAGGAAGAGAATTCCAGAGATTTAAGATTATACATGAACATTATGTAAGACCCTGCATTGAAAAATGTCAAAATCTTGACAATTTTCTAGGAAAATATATATTATCAATATTTGCACAGTCAAAAAGGCAACAGAAATCATCAAAAGCCCATCCTTTTCCCCCAAGGCACCTGGAGACCTGGTTCAAAACATGGTTCTGCCATCAACTTGCTGTGCCACTTGAGCAAAGTGACATCCCCTCTCTGAACCTTGGTTAGATAAAAAAATTCCACTTCTCAAGGTTGTGGTGGGGGCCACATGAGCAGATTGAGGTTAGTGGTGTGTCAATCCTGTCATCCTACCTAACCCAGGGTATCACTGATCGGCTGGCTACTGGCACCTTGCAGTGTTCACGGAATTTCTCCCAGGGACTGATCTTCCTATTTTGCAGATGGGAGAAGTAGTGGGCAGTTAAACCTCACTGCCCACAGCTCAGACCAGATCAGCGGTCTGGGTCCTTCCTCCATCTCCACCAGGGAGCATCGGTGCCACCTCGGGCACCCAGCATGACTCCCTCGGGGATGAACCAACCCAAGGACAGTGCTCCATCCCCAGACACCCCCCACCCCCCTGCATGGTCTGGAACAGACAGGCCGTCATCTCTGAATCACATCGGGTCAGGGTTTTCTATAGGGAAATGAGCTGTGAATTGCAAAACATTTTCAAATGCCTCGATTCATCATCTCCAGACATCTGATCTTTTAATGGGCTGTAAATGGCTTCCCAAAATCAAAACGTGGCCAAAAACAACGAGGAAGGCAGGCAGAGACAAGGAGAGAGGGATCCAGGTCTTTTCGGATGGAATTCAAAACCCTGTTCATCTCCAGGCACCATGGTCGTAGGAAATCTCGGTGTCAGGCACTCTGCTCCCATGCAGGGTCCCTCTGAGGGTCTCCGTGTCCTGAACATTATGTCTACGCCCGGGTGGCATCATAGCACCACCCACCACCACAGGGTGCACAGTGGTGGGTGAATAGGGCTATACGTACTACAAAATAACTCCACCCAGAGACTGGCTTGGCAGGAGGCATACATGTCCCTTTTTTTAAAAAATTTTTTAATATTTTTTATTTATTTCTGAGAGAGAGAGAGAGACAGTGTACGCAGGGGAGGGTCAGAAAGAGAGGGAGATACAGAATCTGAAGCAGGCTGCAGGCTCTGAGCTAGCTGTTAGCACAGAGCCCAACTCGGAGCTCGAACCCACGAACAGCGAGATCATGACCTGAGCCTAAGTCGGACGCTCAACCGACTGAGCCACCCAGGCGCCCCCATATGTGTCCCTTTTATGACTCTCCTGGAAGGGCTGGCCGGAGAGCACAGAATTGGGAGTGGCGGGGTCAGTCCCTGAACTGCCCGGGCAGCCAGGGAGCCCCTAGCAGCCTTCATCAGGACACGAGGGGACTGGCATTATCTGCGGGCAGCGAATACCTCTTGGGCACCTCATCTCTCCCAACTGGGTTCTCATGGAAGGTCCAGGACGGGAAACTTGCTCTCGGCCTTGGGGACAGAAGTGCTCCCCTCCAGGTTCCTTTTCCTTATGAGACAAGCCCAGTCCCCGACAGGGCGGAACAAGTGACTTGGCCCCGCTCCAGGAGACCCAGAGGCCGCTCCTACGGCAGTTTTCACCGAGCTACGTGTTTTGGCTCCATGGCTTGGCCAAGCTCCGAAATTCTTAATTTAGCAT